AAGAGTAATACTAAAATTCTTATATTTTTCTCTAAACTTTTTTATTTAGTACTTTTTACTAAAAATTAAAAAAAAATACTTTTTTAATTTGTTTAAACCAAATATACATACAAAATTTCAGGATTCTACCTCTAATTGTTCTGTCGTATACAATATTTAGAACTTTAAGTACAAATGTCAAACAAAATTGCCAAAAGCATTGTTTTTTTATCCACCCGTACCGCGGTATACAATGTGTTGTACTTTTTAGTACATTTTAGAACTTATTAATGCAAAATATTTATGTATAAATTGTTATTGTCATAGTTCCAGATAATTATTTAATAACAGGTTCCTATCTTCATCCATTCTACCGTACACAATATTTAGTACTCGGTTCGTATTCTATTTGTTTATAATATACAAAATATACAAAGAATTTTCCCGCACTGTGCAATATTTTGTATTTTTGGTGCCATTTAGTACGAATTTTCAATATACCAAGCCTGTTATTTGTACTAATAGTTGGACATTTTTGTACTCTAAATTTACATTTATATTTTTTACCATTCACTATGGTACAATATTTAGTACAATTTTGTGCATAACGCTCTATTTGTAATAGTTAAGCTACATACTAAATTTCAGATCTCAATCTATGACTTATCCATTATAAGTTCATATTTTGTACCATTTTAGTACAAATTTCAAAAATATATTAATATATAGCATAGTATTTGTAATAATTAAATCTATGTGCCGCGTTTCAGATTTCTATTCATACCGGTTCCATTATACTACAGTATTTAGTATTAATTCCAAAAAGTTATGCTTAGCATCATATTTGCAATAGAGTAAGCTACATACAAAATTTCAGATTTCTATTTCTTCCAGTTCCATTTTATCGCAATTTGTAATAGATAAAGCTATATGTGAAATTTCAGAACGTTTTAATATATTCTAATACTAATTTAAAAAAATTTTTGTTTGCCCATCATTCTACTTGTAATAGCTTAAGTTACGTACCAAATTTCAGATATCTATCCTTACCTGTTCCATCGTAGTATAATAGTTAGTACTGTTAGGTACATTTAGTACTAATTTCCAAAATTTGTTCGCACATTCTGATTTGTTTATCAATGACAAAGCTGCATACCAAATTTCAGAGTTGTAGTTCCAACCGTTCCGGCGTAATACTGTTTTTAGTACTATTTAGTACCATATTTGTTATAATTTCCAAAAAATATTTTTTGCACATCATTTTATTTTTAATGGCTTAAGCTACATACCAAATTTCAGATATCTATCCCTACCTTTTCCATCGTAGTATACTATTTAGTACATTTTAGTACCTTTAGTACTAATTTCCAAAACTTGTTCACAAATTCTGATTTGCTAATCACTGACAAAGCTGCATACCAAATTTCAGAGTTCTACTTCAAACCGTTCCGGAGTAATACAGTTTTAGTACTTTTTAGTACCTTTTAGTACTAATGTCCAAAAAATATTTTTGCACAGTATTCTCTTGTAATAGCTTAAGCTCCATACCAAGTTACAGATATGAATCTTCACCAATTCTATTCAAATACAATATTTAGTACTTTATAGTACATCTAAGTACTAAATTTCACACATTCCAGTCCGCTCGCCATAGACAAAGCTACGTTCCAAATTTCAATGTTCTACATCTAACCGTTCCCGAGTAATACAGTTTTTAGTACTTTTTAGTACGAATTTCCAAAAACCCCGCCTTATCACGCGCCAACGCACCAAACCCGACCTACATGCCAAATTTCATGTTTCTAGCTTTAGCCGTTTCGTCTGGGCGTTCATGATCAGTCAGTCACTTATAACGCAATCTTTTATATATATATAGATTAAACACAGGTTCCTTGTCACACTTTGGAATATGCGTGTGTTTGGTGGTGTTGGCGCGTCTTATGGCGCAGCAATTCTTCGTGATTTTAATTTGTCTATTTTGGTTTCAGGTTTTTTTATCTTCTTGTCTTGCGTCATTATAACAACCTTATACAATGTTAAACTTTTGGTTGAGCTTGTTGTTTGTATTAACACTTCTTTGATATATAGTATTTAGCTTTTATATCGAAATAATTTGGAAAAAACATATGCGAATTATTTACACAATGCAGATGTGGGTAAGGGTGAAGTAAGGATGTGATCTCAAACAAAGATAAGAAGATATTGAGTTATCAAGAAAAATTTAATCACGCAATAACTCCAGAACATGACATATGGCCAATTAGTTCTACTGGGCTTTTTATATATTCGTCATAAGCAATTTTTCCCAAATTTTCAAATGTTGTTGCACAATTTTTTTTAACCATTTTTATACCCTTCACCACACTGTGGTACAGGGTATTATGACTTTGTGTATATGTTTGTAACAGGCAAAAGGAAACGAGATAGACCCATAGTTCCTTTTGAGAACATACATAGAATCACTTTCTGAGTCGATTTATCCATGTATTTTTGTGAACAAACAAACAGGTCGCAATTAGCATCAGATTTGGATGAAATTTGGCACATGTCACTTATATGGCCCAATGACGAACCCTATTGAAATTAGTTTCGTCCGATTTTAAGTAAATGGTGCACCAAACTACCGAAATTGGTCCGATTAAGAAAACATTTTTCACAGAGTACTGAATTAGGTCTAGATTTATATATGCCAAGTTTTGTTGAAATCGGTTCAGATATAGCTCCCATAATAGTTTCGTCCGATTTCATGTAAATGGAGCACCATACTGTCAATATTGGTCCGATTGAGATAAAACATTCCACAGACTACTGAATTAGGTCCAGATTGATGTATGCGATGTTTTGTTAGAAACTGTTCAGATTTAGATATAGTTATCATATATAGTTTCGTCCGATTTTATATAAATGTAGCATCAAAAGTCCAATTTAGGTCGATTGGCACAAAATTTTGCACAGCGTACTGAATTAGGTCCAAATTTATGTATGGGAATTGTTTCAGATTTAGATAGAGCTCTCATATATATTTTCCTACGATTTTATGTAAATGGTGCACCATACTGGCAATATTAGTCCAATTGAGACAAAATTTAGCATAGCATATTGAAGTTACCACTGGTTGACATCCGTATTGAATTTACTGCAGGTTGACGTCCACGAAATTTTGTGGAAATCGGTTCAGATTTAGATATAGCTCCCATATATATTTTCGTTCGATTTTAGGTAAATGAAGCACCATACTACCATTTTTTGTCCGATTAAGACAAAATTTTGCACAGCGTACTGAATTAGGTCAGGATTGATGTATGCGAAGTTTTGTTGGAATCGGTTCAGATTTAGATACAGCTCTCATTTAAAGTTTCGTTCGATTTTATGTAAATGGACCATAGACATTCAATTGTGTATGGTTTGTTTTAATTTAGTTTAAATATATATGTACGCAGTTAATATCGTCCGATTCCATGTCAATGCCCTCCAAAGATGCTATGTCTATTCTATCAAAAGGATGTTGTACATATGAGCATCTTTTGTATGTACTCAAAGTGGTGCAGGGTATGATATAGTCGGCCCCGTCGACTTTTGAACTTTCCTTATTTTATTTTTATTTTTGTGGGAACAATTTTTTTTATTTAAAAATTCTTTTTTTTTCTACAGTCAACAGCAACGACGGAAAATCAGTAAGTGCACTCAACTTTAAGTAGGATAGGTTAAAGGCTTGTGACTCTTATCACAGGCTAGCTACTCCACTCGAAAATAATACTTTTCAATAAAAAATAATTTCAGTAGTAATAAACGATAATTGTTGTAGATGTGAAAGATAAGAAATGGAGATGCGTTTTCTAAAATATAGTAATTTCAGATGATGTTCTATGTATATATCAATCAATGACCTTGGTCTCAACCAAGGGCCTCAAAAACATTGGGGAAGGGTTGGAAAATTTGGCTAGAACCATGAACAACAGAAAACATGGACGTGTATTGAAGATATTCTGTGATAATATTCTGTGATATACTAGAATATAGTCACTCGAAAAATGCGCCTAGGGTCATCAGAATACTTATAATGGGTTATAAGCAAAGATCGATACATATTTATAACTTTTAGTAGAAAGATTTGCCATTCAACAATAACATAAAGAATTGCCATGAGATTATTTATCAGAAAAACTTCGGAATGCCTATCTTTTGAGTCCCCAATCTGTAAATGACAACAAATAAAGTCCGAAAAAACTATTTCACCATGATGTACATTTTAAATGAAATTTATATTTATTTCTCATATTCTGGGACCCCATTTAAAATCTTTTAATATTTCTCATTCGATTTGATTAAAGACATGTTATCTCAAAAATAATAGCCATAACTTGACCTATGGCGAATATGTGCTTCTGGGCTTTTAAGAAATTGTTCATCCTGCAAAACTGTGTTGCAAAATTAGTTGTGTTGCAAAATTAGTTATCGAAAAATCGATAAGAGCACTCACATTTGAAGTAGGTTAGATGAAAGGCTCGTGACTCTTATCATAGATGGCTACTCTACTCGAAAATAATTATTTCAATCTTTAAAATATAAAATTCAGTAGTAATAAAAGATAATTGTTGTAAATGTGGAAGATAAGTACTGGAGATGCATTTCCCTGAATATTTAATTACGGAATACCAACAATTGAAAGTGAAAAACGATAAACAGAATACCAAATACTGGAGGTATTTTCTGGTTACATCGTCATGGAATTTTAATCTGTACAGGTCCAATGATAGCATATATAGTTCGTCCGCTTTTATGTAAAGGGTGCACAAAAATGCCAAGGTTTTTCCGATTGACTATATGATAGTCGGTCCGGTTCTATTACTCTCTTTACTGGCTTTTAAAACTCCGAAATGTATATATTTTTAATCCCGAAAATTTAAATAACCATTCAACTGACCTGTTGATTGTAAACGCGTAGTAATATTTCAATTTCATTCTTTTTATAGAAACCTACCACAGAACCCGATATCGAAAAATCTCCACCCGCTCCACAACGAGACAAATGGGGAAATGATGTTGAATTTTTGATGTCCTGCATTGCTCTGTCAGTGGGTTTGGGTAATGTCTGGCGATTTCCTTTCATAGCCTTGGAGAATGGAGGAGGAGCATTTCTTATACCCTACATTATAACACTGCTACTGGTTGGTAAGCCCATTTACTATTTGGAAATGATATTGGGTCAGTTTTCCAGTCGTGGAAGTGTTAAGGTCTTTGAGTATGCACCCATTATGAGAGGTAAGAGGGAATGCAATTTTTAATATTTTTTTGTTTTAATTATTATTTCTTTCATAGGAATTGGTTACGGTCAAGTCATTACCACATTTTTCATATCCACCTATTATTCATCATTGATGGCCATTACCTTGCGTTATGTTGTGGACTCCTTTTATCCAACACTGCCATGGAGTTATTGCCGTGAAGAATGGGGACCACTGTGCATTGATTCCAAGTTGGAAAAGTCTGCAGACAGGCAAGATTTTTCGGAAGTCAAAAAGACTTCGGCGGAATTTTATTTTGTGTAAGTTCCAAACATTAACACCTGGATATTCTGGTTATTATATATCTCAATTTTCAGACATATAGTTCTCCGTGAAAAACCATCTATCGATGATGGAATTGGAGTGCCAAACTGGATATTGGCCATTACATTGGCTTTTGCATGGCTGATAATTTCATCGGTCATAATTAAGGGTGTCAAAAGCTCGGGCAAGGTTTCTTATTTTTTGGCAATGTTTCCTTATGTAGTTATGCTGGTATTACTGATACGTTCTCTGACATTGCCGGGAGCATTCGACGGGGTTTTGTTTTTCCTAACACCTCAGTGGGATAAACTTTTGGACGCACATGTGTGGTATGCAGCGGTGACGCAGGTATTCTTTTCCCTGACAGTGGGTTATGGTGTTATACCGATGTATGCGTCGTTTAATCGATTTCATCACAATATTAAAAGGTGGGTTGGTTTTACATTTTTCTGAAATACGAAATCCATATAACATAGCAATTATTATAAGAAATAATCTCCTACAATTTGTAGAGACTGCACTATTGTAACAACATTGGACACATTTACATCCCTACTCTCGGGTATTGTAATTTTTGGCATCTTAGGCCATCTGGCTCACGAATCTAATACAAATGATATAAAAAGTGTCGTAAAATCTGGTCCCGGTTTGGCATTTATTTCCTATCCAGATGCCATCGCTAAACTGCAAGCTGCTCCCCAGGTATTTAGAGGACACAAAATATATTTTTCTTATTTAACCAATCATAACATTTTATTTTTTAGGTCTTCTCTGTCCTCTTCTTTTTCATGTTATTCACACTGGGAGTAGGCACAATTACCGGTGTCTTCTCCACTTCCATCAATGTGATCTGTGATCGTTTTCTTTCGGCAAAACGTTGGATTGTTGTAATCGTCATGGCTATCATTTGTTATTGTGTCGGTTTGATGTACATCACTCCGGGTGGACAATTTATGTTGAACTTCATAGATTTCTATGGAGTTACCTTTATAGCCATTGTTTTGGCTATTGTGGAATTGATTACAGCTGCTTGGATTTATGGTAAGTATGGAATCATTTAAAATATCATTTAAAATATATCTGAAAATATTTCACAAATAAATGGCGCCGAACTTGAAGATCTTCCCTATTTTCTAACTCTGTTTGTAGTTGAAAATAAGAAATTTTTCTAAAATTAAATTTTATATCTCTGCCATTTTGTTAATTTTTGTGCGATGTTAATAATCCTATTTCATACCAGAGTCAGACATATACTATTTCGAATGTTTTCGGAATTTTTTGAATCGGATGATGGACTTTTCGTTAATTACAAAAAACGGATATCTGTGAATCCGATTCAAATATTTAGAAACCCGGTTCTTATTTAATCGTTTTCTCGCCTTTAAGGACCCACCTAAAATCTTATGAGCAGAATTTTTGTAGAATATTGCGAGGATGAAAAATCGTATCTTGTGATTATTGGGGTCCGGTTCAATAAATTAAGGAAAGAAGAGTACACATAAGGAATCCATTTAGAAGGACAAAATATTCTGCAATTCCTCATTCCATTTTACAGAAGAAATCTAATCTCAAAAAATACATTCGAGAGCTAAAGCTCTCTTTCAAGTATAATAGGGTCGCAAGCCAAAATTTTGTCGCGCCATATCTCCGAACTTATTAAACTAAGGATTAGAAAAAGAGTGGTATTATAGAGTAGTATTATCGTATAGCTGCGTTATTTTATTAAAAGGTTAAGAAGAATGCGAAAATTGAATCGACAGAAATGTTTTGATCAGATTCTTGTAGGTTCTATAGGTTGAATGGCGCGAAAGAGTTTTCTAATTATCTGCGATACCCGAGGGTTTCCGTAGGTTGAACTTCCATACTAATTTTATGGAATATTTCAGGTATTTTTCAGAGTTGCAATGGCTACATTTTTTAAATTGAAGCAATTCGTTTTAAATTACAACTGTAACACTGTAAGCTCATCAAACTCGTTGTCTGAAGTTGGAGAAATTCCTTTTGGGGATGAAAGCTCTTGCGTTTTTCTACAGAACCCAGAAGGCCATTCGCCATAGATGAAGTTTTTGAGTTATGCCGTGATGTATTTCTTCAGGTAACTCTAAATTTCAGTAAGAAATGCTTTATATCTATGTTTGTGGCTATTGTAAGTTTTTGAAGAATATCCTCGTATCCTATTCGAGTTCTTGTGCATATTTTCGATCCCTCAAAAAGGCATTAAGTTATTCGAGACTATCTTTTTATAACCTCCACCAAATAAATACTATCATATACTTGCAATAGAGTTGCCAACCCCACTTGAAACTATGCAACAGATAATATAGACTATACGGAATATATAAAAAGTGGACCTACAATGACATTTTTTCCAAGATTTTTAATCCACTGGGCACCAGAAGTGATATCGGGTTCAACAAAAAAATCGGGGGTTACCGTCATAATAGCTCCACATAAAACGGAAATAAACATAAGTGGCCCAACTTTTAGCACCCTAATGCAATTCGTTAGGAAGGCAAAGAGATTACGACAGACTAAGATTGTCAAATAATCTTAGAACTTTATCATAATAACGAATAGGTTATGGGATCTGATATAATTATTTTGAAGAGCTCATATTATGGTAGAAGATATAAAAATTGAAATATGACTCTTGTGATCCTTCCTTTTGCATGTTACATACATGTATAAGGTCTAAAAATACTAAAAACAAGTAGAAACGTCCTCAAGGTCGACCGAACTTCTTATAGCCTCCCCCATGAGGTGGACATTTAAAATACCTGAAATAGTGTTATTTGGCAATTCCCAAATGTTAACCAATACCAAATATCCCATAATTAATAACAGAGTATTTGCAAACTTTCAAATCTCTATCTTAAATATTGCGAGCTCTATCGTGATATGTTCAGATGGACACGCATAAATCGACATAGAATTTATGGGTCTGAAAATGAATATTTCGAGGTGCTGCAAACGGAATGACAAGTTTAAATTAAACTTCACGTTGGACGCCATATCTAATAATTCCAATAATTAGGTTTTATTCACATTTTTCTAAAAATGCATACGATACCGCTATTTAAATGTTTCAAATTTCCTCCTAAGTTGCCATGAAACTTTACCAAGGCCAAATTTGTAGTTCACTTACGAAGATACCAGCGACTTATGGGAACTGTTTTTCTATATCCATTTAATCGAAATGCAATTAGTTCAATACGTTGGGTGCCATTTCAACAACGGATCCGTTATTTTCTACAATTCCCCTCTTTACGACTATAAATAGGTTCTTCCAAAAACTTGTAATCTCTCAATCATACTGGCGATATACATTTTGATAGTAAGAATATGTGGCAAAATATGTAGAGCACCACTTATCTATTATTATTTAATATATAATAATGTAAAATGGAAGGAGTCCCTTCCCTGTCGGTTTATACCAGCATGTAAAAACCAATGAGTGGTGAAGTATAAGCGGACGAAGTCGACTCAACTCAAACTTTCTGCGGGACCATATTCCGGGAAAATCGGTTCAGATTTAGATATAGCTCCCATATACATTTTCGTCCTATTTGAGGTAAATGGTACACCAAAGTACCCATATATCTTTCGATTTTCACGAAATTTGGCATAGCATACTAAATTAAGTCTAGAGTATTGTGTGTTAAGTTTCGTGAAAATCGGTTCAGATTTAGATATAGCTCCCATATATATTTTCGTCAGATTTTATATTAATGTTGCACCAATGTCCCTATATATCATTTGATGTGTACGAAATTTTGCATAGAGTAATGAATTAAGTCTACAACGATGTGTGTTAAATTTCGTTAAAATCGGTTCAGATTTGGATATAGCTCCTATTTAGTTTTCACCGATTTTATGGAAATAATGCACCAAGGACTCAAAATATGACCGATAGACATAAAATGTACTGAAATTATTATAGCCTATCCAGTGACAAGTTTCGTTGTAATCGGTTCCGATTTAGATATAGCTGCCATTTATAGTTTTGTCCGATTTTAAGTAAATGGTGCACCAAAGATCCAATGTTAGGCCGATTGTCACATAATTTTGCACAGCGTACTGAATTAGGTCCGGATTAATGTATGCAAAGTTTTCTTGAAATCGAATCAGATTTAGATATAACTTCCATATACAGTTTCGTCCTATTTTAAGTAAAAGGAGCACCAAATACCCAAAGTTAAAACGATTAAATGAAAAGTTTGCCCTACGTACTGAAGTTAGTGTAGTCCAACGTGTGTAAAGTTTTGTTGGAATCGGTGCAGATTTGTATATAGCTCCTGTGCATATTTTCCTCCGATTTTAAGTAAATGATGCACTAAGGGCCCAAAATATGGCCGATAGACATGAAACGTACTGAAATTAGTATAAACAAACCTGTGTCAAATTTCTTTGGAATCGGTCAAGATATAACTTCCAATAATTTTTTCGTCCGATTTTAATTAAATGGGGCCCAAACACCTCATTATTGTCAGATTGACGCTACATTTTGCATAACGTACCAAATTGAGTATAGGATGACGTATTGCTTTTTGTAAAAATGCAGACATAGTCCATATATTAGACCGACTTCACGTTTAGAGATTTGCTTGAAATCGATTTACATAATTTGAGTCATTCTTTATCTATATAAATGAATAGTTTAGTATAGGTTACAAATGACATGTTTATGAAGATACCCAAATTGGTGAATTGTATCATATAGACGGCCCCGTCCGACTTTACTACTTACTTTACTGGTTTGTTCATATAACGGAGTATTTATTACTTGTATTACATCTTTATATTACAGGCATTAAAAACATTTGTCGTGACATTAAATTTATGCTGGATATCAAGACATCGATATATTATCGTCTATGTTGGGGCATTATAACCCCAATATTTATGACAGCGATATTAATTTACATGTTGGTCGATTATAAGCCGCTGACATACAATGATGTTCCATATCCAGATTATTTATATGGTAATAATAATTTATTCTATATGTTCTTTACAAGTCTAATTTTATTTTCAATTTCAGTTCTTGGTTGGTGTATATCCGCCATAGGCATTTGCCAATTAATTATCTGGGCCGTTTACACAATTTATGAAGCACCAGAATTGAGTTATTGCGAGCGCTTTCAAAATGGGTTTAAGCCTCTCTCGGATTGGGGTCCCCTTGAACCTGAAATACTAAAAGAATATAAACGTTATGTGGATGATCAAAAGAGAAGTTCTGTGTCGATTCAAAAAAAGACACTTTGGTCGAAATTCTGTGATAATGTTTTTGGTTAAGGTATTGATTTTGTTGTAAATAAGTTAGTTTGTAGAAATAAGAAAATTGTAAATTAAGCCCCTAATTATTTTTTTCTTATTAAAATATATTATAAACATGATTTTACCCAGCATGAAATGCTATATAGCAAACAATTCTGCGTCATAAATTCAAAAATAACTATTTTAGATTTTTGCCGGTCTTGCAGAAATGGGCGATATGAGGCCTTGGCAAAAGTAAGAAGGTTATTTATCCTTAAGCTAATATCCGTCATTTACTTTGGATAATTTGAAATTTTTTAGCATAAACATACGTTGGGCTAAAATTAACCAAAAAAAAAAAATCATTGATCCGTGTGCTTCAAGAGTCTTAAGCGGAGACGAATCAAAAGTTGTTCGTGAATGAAAGAACTTGCAGCAAATTGGCATGTGGCCACTGTCCCGCTGGAACAACGTTGGAGGTCTTTTCTAAGTAGTTTACCCCAATCTGTTTGCCTCGGTGAAATTTGACAAATTAACAGAAGAATATAATTAATTTGTGGAACATGACAATGCGAGCTCTCACGCATTAAACCAACGCCTTTTTATATCCTTCACCTCACTGTGGTACAGGATATTATGTCTTTGTGCATATGTTTGTAACAGACAAAAATAATCGAGATAGACCCATGGTTCCTTTTGAGAATATGCATAGAATCACTTTCTGAGTCGATTTATGCATGTCCGTCTGTCCATGTTAAATTGTAAACAAAGTACAGGTCGCATTTATGATCCGAATTGGATGAGAACCAAATAATATTTTAAGGATTTATAACGGAAATTCGTTCACAAATTGAGAACATTTCCGCTTTCATACTATTTTCTACAAAATTCATGCTAAGAACCATTCCAAATAAATGTGATGAATAAATATAAAAACCTATTAATTGGGTTGAAACCCGCGTGATTTTAGTTTTTTTTTACGTGCTGATTCTACTGAGACCAGCCGTGTTCAAATCCGCCCAATAAAACTGCGGTCAAAAGTACTTTGAAAGTAGAAACATCTGGAAATACATAATTTGGGAATTCCGCGCGTATAATCGCTTTATTTTGTATATAAATATAAACATTTGTAAGCCATATTGCTGAGTAAATGCTCATAAAATATAGCGATACGTGAATAATTTTATCCAAAATAGATTGGCGAGGCATATACACGGTTCTTGATGGATATGAGCATATGAGATTTAAAAGCTTTCAAAATATTCACCCTTTGTAGGGGAGGAGCTAGAAGTAGTGGACCGATAAGTCCCATCTTGCAACATTATACAGGTTTAGTTAAAATATTAGGGTGTCAAAGTTTGGTTCAAATCCGATGGTCTGTTCCCAATTAATTTTCAGCAACATTTAGACCATTTTGTGGGGGAGGTACCAGAAGGAGTGAACCGATATTCCCATTATTCGAACTAGATTTAAGTTTGAAAGAAATATTACTATGTGCACAGCTTGGACCAAATCGCTTTATATTAGATTTATGAATATTCAATATGTTGACACTTGGTGCGTTAGGTACCAGAAGAAGAGAACCGATAGGATTGGTAAAAATATTGCGTTGTGCAGAGTTCGGATGAAATTGGCTATTGCGTTAGCTTCATATGAGATTTACAAGTTTTGAAAATATTGACCCTTTGTGGGGTTAATAATTTCTAATTGGACTAATGAGTCCCTTTTTCTAACATTATACAGGTTTCGATAAAGTATTAGGTTTTGCAGAGTTTGCTTAAAATCGGATAGTCAGTTCGCATTATACATATTATTAAATTAATTTTCATCAAAATGTTGACCATTTTGTGGGGTAGCTTGATTAAGTCTAGAATGATGTTGCTAAGCTTCGTGAAAAGATCCACTGCTAGGCCGATTGACACAACGTTCTGAAATAATAACGAATAGTATCTGCCAAGTTTCCCTGAAATCGGTTCAGATATAGATATATAACAAACACGCGACGTCTATAAAGACTGCCTTCAGCTTATCTATGGAGACTCCCTTCAGCTCGTCTATGGAGACTCCCTTCAGCTCATCTATGGAGACTCCCTTCAGCTCGTCTATGGAGATTCCCCTCAGCTCGTCTATGGAGACTTCCTTCAGCTCGTCTATGGAGACTCCCTTCATCTCGTCTATGGAGATTCCCTTTAGCTCGTCTATGGGGACTCCCTTCACAGCTCATCTATGGAGACTCCCTTCAGCTCGTCTATGGAGACTCCCTTCAGCTTCATCTCGTCAATAAAGACTCCTTGTCTTTAGGTCGCCTAAAAAACACCCTTCAGCACATCTTCCTTCTGGACTCGTCTGAGTACATTTTTCTTGTTTTATTTACAATGTAAATTCCACACTAATATAGGTTAATAGGATGCTGCTTGTAACCGCTTAAAATCGGTGAATTCAACTGATTACCTATACGTATGGTGTTTCGATAATGATGTCATGCACGGGAGTCGTTTTCTCTCTTATCACAATCGAATGAATAATAATGCAATTATTTTCTTTCTTCCAAAAAAATATTAAGGCAGTTTGCAACGAACAGCATATCCGCGTAGTCAATTCGTCAGAATCGCGTGTCAAGCCATGCATCTGTAATCATCAAAATATTATAATACGAAAAGCTGCATAAAGATGCTAGATTTTCATGGAATTGAGAATCCCGGTTACAATCATCCATCGCAGTCTTCTACAGAAGCTTCCTCATCGCATACTTGTCATAATGTAAAGGTATTGGAAAATTTATTTCAAATCACACAATCGTAGACTTATTGATCCAACCCCACACCTACAACAAGGCATTGTTTCAGAGAAGGATTTTTATCAACATTTATTAAAAAAAAATAATCAAAGTTTGATTTCTTTTCTTGTCTTTCTTCATAAAATAATTGTAAAAGTAAATTGCGTTTCACACGCTCAAAAATCAATCACTTTATAACTTCGTCATTAATCGTTATCTCTGAAGATGGGTGATAAAAATAAATTCATTTGAAAACCACTTGAAATGTCAAATATATCGATTGGTTGGACTGAATGTTATTAGTTATTTAATTAATTTATTGCTTGTTCGGTGGAAATAAAGAACATTTCATAGTTATTTACTATTAACAGGTGATCACTGCAAATAATCAATTTAATAATTTTATGAATGAAATAAACGTGACTAATAAATATCAGTGGACATCTACAAATCGCATGGAAAATTGATTCATATATCATTGCAAACAATATCCACTTATCAGTTGAAAACTATAATATTTGAAAAATTAAAAATTCGATTATGAAATCATTTTTTAGTAAAATTTAAAAGAAAATCAAGGTCTATATATCTGGACCATGAGCAAAATCAATATAAATTGGAATCAATTTTTCAGTTTATGAAAAGTAAAAGCGTCTAGAAAGTGCAACACGTGAAGGGACTCCTGGTCTATTGTATACGAGGGCGATGACATATATTTCTGACTAAGTGTTATCTGACGCCGTCATTTCTATTGGAAAGTTTTACATTTGTAGCATAAACGTACTCAATACAGATTAATGTACTACCATGTGTTGTCTACGATGATTTCAACAATCAAAGAAGTAAAAGACTTGAAATATTTGTCATAAAATTAACTCGTGAACATTTTCGTGCGATTAATCTCCACTATGATTATAAAGAAAAGAGTGCATCGATGCATTTAAATACTGTTAATGTAAAATACTGTTACTGTTAAATACTGTTAATGATTCGCTCAATGACGAATGTCGTGATATAGAGGCATATTTGGACATTTCTTCTACCAGCCTTCTTTAGATTTTTCATTAACATATGGCCGTAAAAAGTTGTTTTCTCCATTAATTTTAACGAAATTTTGGAAGATCCAGAAGATCGCGACCTTTACTAATCGTGCATATATGAGGGTAAGCCCGAAACAAAACTCTATTAGGCATTGCGAGTCTTCGAAGAAACTCTTCATGGTTACCATGTACCTATTTATTTGGCAGCGCATGTCATGTTGCGACAAAATTTGTTTGCCTAAAGTCTTCGAAGAATTTCGAACAAACGAATAAGAGCAAAAAAAAATATTTTGATGTTTTTTATTTGGTGCATTCAGTTGAGCGTTACAGGGTGTTAAAAATGAAAATGAACAAAGAGAAGTTTCGGTATATTTTACAGTTTTTCTTTGGCAAAGGCGAAAATGCAAGCCAAGCGGCTAAACTTTTTAGGCAGGTCGTCGAAAATGTCGATAAAATTGGAGCTAAACCTAATGTACAAGTTCCGATACAGGCGTATGGCTTGTAGGGGTTCTAAATCTACAGAGTAGCTTTAGAGTCGAAAATATTTGTTGCACAAAGACGAACAACAATAATATGAATTTTAGACAACAAAACAAGTATACAGGCGATACTTACGAGTTGCTAATTAGGAACTGGTGGTGGTTGGAAAAAATAAAACAATCGTTTTAATCATAGACTCTGACGGTCTTAATTTATATTTTATTTGTTTTAAAACAATTCTTGGTTCTTAATAGCGGCAATTTTCTGCTTCTTCTTCCTTAGCGATTGGTATTCTCTGATGACTTGAAATGATAGTTGAGGTATCGATTATTAGTTTACCGATGGCGTTATCGATGGAACCTCGACAGCTAAAAAGCGACCATAAAATTGGAGCTAAAAAGCGACCATAAACATTTAAACAAAAATATTATTTCTTTTTCCCCAATCTAATATTTTAGGGTTATATGCCTTTATAGGGCGAAAGATCATTCATGTAAATGTTTTTATTTATTTTTCTATCGAGATTTAGGGATTTTAAGAAAATTTTTTATTCAAAATGCCTGCAATTTAGTATTTATAACTTTCAGTGAGTTTGGACCCCAATTTTTATTGAAATTAGCCCTCTTTTGTTGTTCCAAGTGGGACTGAAATTTTTCTTGTAAATATTTGGCAGCACTGCCGAACAGCACTTTTTACACCCTTCACACTGTGGTGCATGGTATTTTGTCTTTGTGCATATGTTT